ATATTATGTTTTGCAACTATAGAAATATTTGAAGAGCACACCCACAACGAGAATGAGAGATAGCATGATTGAATGATCTTAGGAGCACACTCCGCCGCGAGAAGGACAGAGAGGAGCATGCATTCATGCCTGGAGAGGAAGCTATGCGAGAATGAGAGATGAGGGAAACAATGGCTTAGGGTTTATAGTGGACAAATTGCACATTTAATTCCATGTTTCAACCCTTAGATTAGTGCATAATGTTCCAAATAATCATACTTTCGAACAGAGTGGTTCATTTAAATCCATCTGGTTCACCAGTTATATGGTTTGTCCCCAACTCATTACTAAAATGGTTATGATATTATTCTAGACCAACTTTTGGCCGGTTCAAGATTGAACCTATCATTCTAATCATATTTTTAGAACCATTTTTAAGTGCTTATCCACTGAAATCTTCTCCTGGTTTTTTTATAGCTCATAAATAAAAAGGAAAGAGTAATGCAAAAATATGCATGTGACCCCGGGGTCGATCCCCGGCTAATTCCCTAGATTCGTTATATTTCTATGTTATTTAGACTCACTAAAATTTTAGACATTTAAGGTTATGAGTAGAAAACCTTCACACCCTCACGAGTCTCACATATCCAGGCGAAAATAAAAAGCGGCATACAATCGCCAAAAAAACTAGTAAAAGCAAGTAATCCTAAAGGCAATCAGATCATCACATCAAATATAAATTAATTAATAAATGTCCAAATGAACAGCTTTTATATCTCCAAATGATAAGCTGTATTCGGTTCACTTAAATTTTGCTATTGATATGTGCAATCGTTGTCGAGCCTCAACATTTCTTTTAATGAACTAAAGAACTCATGGAAGAACTGTTTGTAAGCTAAGATTTGTTATTCATCTCTGCAATATAAAATAACACCAAAGCATTTCAAACCACAAAATGGATGAAAATCTTGATTTGGAGCTAAATTTGTGTCTTGTATATATATTATTAGTAAATGAACACTTATTAATCTATAATTTAAGCTAATGAGTTAGAGTCATTAGTAGTATATTATGAATTTAATTATTTTTTTATTTTTTATTGTGAAACTGTTGTTGGGAAGTAAAATCGTGCAACAAAACAAACAAGAAAAAGAAAACAATGGAAAAGAACTTCAAGATTTAACATGAAAAATTTTGAAATCGAAAAAAAATCTCGGAGCCTCCCAAAAAAATCCATCATCAAAAAGGGAGAAAATATGCATCTCTCTCTTTTCATGTTTTCTTCTTATCTCTCTTCACTTCTTACACTGTTCTATCCTTAAAATAGTCGAAGAGATGCGCTTCTATTATACTAAACCACGCAATCCTTTAAATGAAATAAAAAAAAAATTACTCAGCTTGACCTGCAACATTGCCACTCAGTGTTGACTTCTCTGTCTCGTAGCACCGTGACGTTGTACTATTTATCTAAGAAGGGTTCAAAAACTCCTTGGTACGTGGTTTTGAACGCCATGGCGTTGTATGTACAAGAAAAATTTTTCATCAAGGGGCTCGCTGCACCCCTCGACTCCGCAACAAGCTCCTTGTCAAGCTCAATCGATAAAATTAAGGTATGAGTCAACAAATCAATCAGATTTCACACAATACTAACAACTATTTTTTATTCTCATGCTGATTTCAATAAGCAAAATCAGCCAAACTGAACTGAATAGAAATTATTCTCCTCAAAGATTGGTTTAGTAATGTTAAATTATACAATTTCATGTTATAAAACCATTATTGTTCTTAAAAGCTGAATAAATTGTTGTGATGCCCGTACTCATATGATTATGAGAAGGGCTTGCATATGCAAAGGCTTTTCACTATATATTTTCATGTGATTTAAAATTAAGCGTATATCAACTTAGTATTAGTAGCGAATTCTAAACTTTTTAATCTTCTTGACTTCTTGAATAATATTGACTAGGTTTTAATTTTTTAACTTGGTGGTTACTTTTTTTTTTTTTTTTTTTTTTTTTTTTTTTTTTTTTTTAAACATTCACATTTGCTTTTCAATATTAATAGCTTATCTAACTAAAATTATAGTGGATTGTCATCTTTCTGATCTAGCACCACATAATATAACTATAAAAGAAGGAGAAACCAATGATTTTATGCATCCTACAATAAAAAAGTAACAGAGAGAGTATAAGAAAGAGAGAAAAGATGCTCATCCAAAAATGAAAGCAGTTTTTCGGGGTGCTCGTAAGAGGAGTATTTCAACTTCTTCAAGAAGAAGCATTGTCATTGTTAGTTTTAGCTAGAGAAGAAGATATGAGTCAAATTATGAAATAGTTCTCATTTAGACTTCTATAATAGGAGAAATTATCATGTGTGGTCACCAAACGGTTCAGAGGTGAATCAGAACACGTAACGTCACCCGATACCGAGCAGTATACAGGACATGCGTTAGCCTAGCCAGCATAGACGTGAAGGCCTTATTAGTCACTGCTAGCTGGGAAAGGTCAGATTTCATGCAATCAAAGCGAAGTTATTCCATACAGGTTCCATGTAATTAAGTGGACTTTTATTTCAAATCTTTAATGGTCTTAAAAAGCTTCTATTTGAATGAGATTATTAGCTGAAGTGAATGACTTTTACGAAGGGATTATTAAGATCCACATAAGAGTAAAAAAATCTCATATTAGAAGCGGAAAAAAGTCTTGAGTTGTCGGCTTGCTAGCTAGCTAGTAATAGCTCTTTCACATTAGTGTTATATTTTTTACTTGATAGGTATTTGTCCATTAATTTATTGTATTCGAATTGAGCTCGAGATATTCATTTCATGTTAAGGCTTCATTTGAGATAAATATCATATTATTTTGTTTTTATATCACAATCATAATTTTTATTTTGCCCCTGACCTATAATCATATCTTGATTTTTTGCTGAAAGACTAGCACTGCTGAGATCATGCAATGCTTAAAGCTTAGAGAGTTAAAGACTAATGGGTTAAAATATTGAAAGGGAAAGGGAGGAATGACTTTCCATTGTGAAAATAATGATGAAAAAAATTTTTGACTCACAGTTGAAAGCTATTAGATTAATTATTATTTAAAATATTTAACTATTTAAATATGATTTTATTAAAACTTTCATCGTTAACTAATTATTTATTATTTAATATTAATTCTTTAGGGTTAAATTACCACCCAATTATTTAATTATTGTGAAGAGTTTTGATTTTCCTTGATTTTTTTTAGCAACGAAAATGCTGCAGCCACGCACTCATGACAGCGCACCTAACTAAATCAATATTATGTATGTTCAATTCCTCTCCCCACTTCCATACTAAAGCTAAAATTAAAAGCCTAAAGGAGCTTAAAGCCGATTGTTTTAGTGGCTTAATAGAGCAACAATTTTGCCAACGAGAAATCCTTCTCTAATTTGTGTAATTATTTCTTTTAAAGCTATTTATTAATCCAGATAAGCCACCAACATTTTTTCCTGGACATATAAAAAGCATCAATGGTTCGTTTTCCCCTTTACTCATCTCCTCGAGAATGGCTTTCGTTAGGCCCCCCTGAACAAAATTTCTGGCTCCGCCACTGACTCTAGTTGCTTTGAAGGAATTGAAGAAGGGGAAATGAAAAGAATAACATTGTAAGAAAATTGAATTGAAATGGCTTTCATTCACATATTTGGTTCATAATAAATTAAGTAGAAACTAGTATCAAGAAAAACAAAAAAGCAAAAAAAAAAAAAAGTATATACGTGAAAAGGTTGAAGTTACTTTAGTGGCATATAAGATTAGAGTGAGTCGCTTAGATGATTTGGTCACATAAAATATCAATCTCCTGATGACACGGTTAGGAGAGAAGATGTATTAAATACGCTTTTAATTAAGAAAGATAAATGTTGGCTTTGACTCTTAATAGAACATAACGAAAATTATTAGAAATGTTTTTTTTGCTAAATTTAAATAAGAATTTGACTTTTAATAGAACACAATAGAAAAAACATAATTCATATATCAACCCCACATAGTGGGATAAAGCCTAAATGTTATTTTTTTATAGTTTTATTGAAGTTACTAAATTTAATCTTCACTCGAATTCCATCAAGCAAAACAAAGCCATATAGAAATAAGCCCAATTAATACTCCCATAGACTCCTATAGTTTAATCTTCAAGAATGACCAAAAAATTAAGCTTCCCTTTCAATCAAGAGCAATCTATAATGAATCTAAAGATAATTTGATTGGATTTTGTTGTCAAAGCAGTTGAGTTGGTGAAGAAAACAGAGCATGTGCTGCCTTAGCTTATAAACCCAATTAAGGAGAGCTTTCTCAGTTCCACATGGTTGGTCCATTACAAACAATCATGCATGAATAATAATTGAACTGTTGATGTAGAAGAAAAAAAAGCATAAAACAACACTGAAAAAGATGAGATCGAGCACATGATTGGATTCCTGTCCATTTCAAAATATAATGAATAACATTGTAAGGTTCACAAAAGCAGGATAACTATACACACTTCAGTTAAGGTTGGGACGACTTTTTTGTTGCTTTTTAGAACATTTTTTTTAGTTCAAAAATTTCTTGAATTAAAAAAATTTATACTAAAAAATCGTTTTAGGAAGAAATATAAAAGCTTACCCAAATAAAACCTAAATAAGGCTATTTCTTCTTCATCTCTTCTGTTACAAACAATAAGAATATTTACTGCACTTAGCCTTGAATTCCACACTTGAGAGAAAACATTAGATATATATTACTCACCGAACAACAAGAGATTAGGAGTACAATAAGAGAGAGAGAGAGAAGAGAGCATAAAATGGTGTTCCTTGAGAAACTTTATCTCTATCACTGATAGACTTATACATAAACACAAATGTTAACGCTAAATTATGTAAGAAATTCCTCTCGCACTCTCTTCATCTCTTATGTTACAAACAATAAGAATATTTACTGCACTTAGCCTTGAGCCCCCCCCCCCCCCCAAAACATTAGATCCCCCCCCCCCCCCCAATTAGGAGGAGAAATTATGCTGTGCGGAGTCCAGACGGTAAAGAACCGTACGGATGTAAGTATACATAGTATTTACACTGAGTATAATTTTGTACATAGTTTGGTTTTTTTTTACACAGTGTACAAACACTATGTACACTCACATCCGGACTGTTCTTTAATATCCGAACTTCGCACGAAATAATTTCTCCATTAGAAGAAAGCTTTTGTTAAAAAGACCTAGAAGCTGGCCAGTTAACTAACCACAAGAAAAAGTTTAAGAAAGTAGAGAGAAGATGAGAAAAATGAAAGAGATTGGTGGGGCTAAGGAATAATAATGAAGGCCTTCTGAGGTCACATGGAAAAAGGCCAAGCCTGCACACAACACATGCAGCTGCCTGGTATCTCACATGCTCACTGTTCTGCTTTCAAAAAATTTTGTCAGGGTATTGATGCAAAAGTGATATATCAACTTCAAAATCATCCCATTTAGATTAAAATTAGTATAACTTAAAATATTGTATATAACACTAATCTCGACGTAAATCTTATGACTTTGAAGCTTCCTTAAGACTTATATCGCCACATGCAAACTCAAATTAAATCTAATCCTAAAGTCATCACAAACTAAAGGAAAGCAACCAAAGCTATGCAGTCATAGTAAAGAAGCCAATTAATGATCATAAGGAGATTTGGGGTTTCAGTGCAAGGATAGGAGATGGTGGTGGCGAGGGCAGGAGAGGAGGTGGTCGTTGGTTAGGCCGGCGGCTTGCATGAAGGAATGAACGACTGTCGGACCGACGGAGCGGAAGCCACGGCGGACGAGGTCTTTGCTTATGGACTCTGACTTGGAAGTCTTGGCTGGGATTTTCCTGCAGGTTTTGTAGTTTGGGTTGAGTGGCCTGTAGTTGACAAAGCTCCAGAAATATTTGTCAAGAGAGCTGAAGTCCTTGGTAATCTGCATGGATAAATAGTGGAAGAATATGGAATGGTTGGTCAGGAAACATGGAAAGTTAGACAAATTAAGTATTATGTTTATGTTAGAGAAAATAGTATATGATGGGTTGCATATGTTAAGGAGGCATGAGTCAAAGGACCACATTGCATATGTTCATTCAAGGGCGGAATCAGCTTTACTTTTGAGGATGGGCAAAGCTGGTGGTTGAGATTCAGAGAAGCGTAGGGCGTCGAAGTAGCAGTCTAACAAGCATGAACGAAATAGGAGAAACAGTACACGCAAGAAATAATGAATGGTTGAGCTTGCGTGAATTGGATCGGGATTGGATGCAGCAAAATTTTTAAGATAGGACAAAAAAAAATTTCGGGGTACAAATTTTCAAAATTGCCCATCCTCGGTTCAATGTGATTCCACTAAACAGCTTATAGGGGACATTATAGCGGCTTTTATGAAACTTTTTTAATTATGAAATGATAATATTTTTTATATGTGCTATTAGCAATGTGTAACAGATCAAAAGGGATGTTATGTACAACTAAACGTCAGATAAGAGCAAACAGCAAAAAATAATAATTATATTGATTAAAAAAAGAGAATATTTCGAAAGATTATTCTATTCTATTCAGATTATTCTGCAGAGATCAAAAGTTTTTACTGAATAATTACATATCATGTGATGTTATACCTTTCTTGCTTCATGATTTTTTATCCTTTTTTCAAAGAATGGATCAAAAATTTATTTTTTGTTTATTTAACATGCGATTAGAATGTTTTAGTAGTTAATATTTCTTTTATTCATTTTGAATGATAAAAATAAGATTATTATTTTAAAGAATTTTTGAGAAACTTTATAGTATTTGACATCAAATGATAGCTGTGAAAACTTCCATCTTTTTCTAAAACATAATTTTAAATTTTAAGCAATGAAATGAAGCATTAGATTAAAAAAAAAAAAACAATTTAGGCCCTTCCTAAAATAGCTTTCTAAAATCTTTGTACTAAAAAATTCTTTAAAAATCAATAAGAAAGCCTTAATGTAAGAGTCAGCGCCTCAAAAAGCGTTTGGTTTATTAAGACAGGGAAATAAATAAACAACTGCTAACTGCTTAGCTTCTAATAATACAACAATAGAAGAATGATATATTATATGTAATTCTATAAATTCCACAAAGTTTACAAAAAAAAGGAATAAAATAGATTTAAAATACCTGAAGAATTCTGTTAGCATTGTCTACAACAGCTCGAACCCTCCCCTGCTCTATTCCATACTCTGAGCAGATGGAGCTCATCTGCCTCTCTGTGAATTTTGCCACCACCTCTGCTTCAAATCCAGCAAAAGCTTCACTGTAACAGAGCAAATAAAACAAAAAATTTCAGCTTTACTACCGTTGACCCAATTACATAATCAAACAAAATATGTAAATATGTGGATGAGTAGATCTTTTTTCACCTGTATTCCTTCCTCCTCTTCAGTATGGTGGTCCAATCCAGTCCCACTTGAAATCCACACAGCACTAACAACTCGAATAAAATTCTGTAAAACAAATGAAGGATTAGAATCATGTAGATGAGGATAATAATCAAGGATTTCATAATGTGTATCTTCGGAGTTCAAATTTAAGCCAAATATATATTACTATCAACTAAAAGTTTAATTCAAAGATAAACAATAATTACCATACTCAATCGATATTTTCAAACAAGAAAAAAAAAATTGAATTATCACTATTATATTAATAGATTAATCTATTAAAAACTCTGTTTTTTTTTTTTTTAATTTCTCATCCAAGTCTAATCTCTATTCAGATGGACCGTAAAACGGGGGAAGTGAGAAGAAGAAAGCTCACTTGTCATCATGAACAGGAACACCCCATTCCTCATCATGGTAAGCCACATAGAAAGGATCTGTCTCAAATAAGAAACAGAGCAGAAGAAACCTTAACTAATAATAAATATTTCTTTATTAAAACAGAGAGGAAATAGGACTTTATACTTTGGTCTCCTACCTGAATTAGATGTAATAAAAGTGCATCTCTTCTCCTCCTGATTCACCCCTCCATTATTCCCTGAATGAACGGCCACCGATTTATTCTGAAGCTTTGCCTCCATCTTTCCATAATGCGCAATCCGCAATTTTCTCTGCTGTTGAATCAGAGACGCCTGCTCCCTCTGCGCCGCCGCAATGCTTCCGGCTGTCGTGGCAGCCGCCGTCAAAGCGGCAGGTTCCAAACCGGGAAGCCCCCCGGCAAACACTTTCTTCGACTTCTTCCTCACTACGATAGGCGGCTTTGCCGCTGCCGACCTTGGCGTTGGCGGCTTCTCGCCACTTGAATTAAGCCCATCGGTATCATTCCCCCTCTTCAGCACTGCCATCGCCGGTGGAGAAGACGGCTTCTTCATGGACTTGGGTGGGTCAAGTGCGGCTGAGAAGCTGTTGATGGCTGGCTGGAGGACCGGTCTGCCGTCGATCTTGGAGTTGCACATGATGTTGTGAGGAAGAGGGGAGGGGGGAAGAACAGGGGAAGGAGAGGGTGAAGATGGAGAGCGGAATGAGGGAGGGGGAGTATAAATATGGAGATGGGGGTGTAAATAGGGAAGGGGAAGTGGGGAAATGCTAACATGGAGGGGTTGGCGTCTGCCATACAAGCCTTGAGGTGGGCGGCGTCGCTTTCAGTTAGGGGAACTGGGTAATCCCAGAACACTAGAGCAGATGGTGACCGTTGGATTTACCTTATCCAATATTTTAAATTTAGAAATGTTATTTAGTATTTACATCTTTCTATCGCCATTTTTAATTATTTTATCTATAAAATTATCATCAAATGTTTGAAATGAATTAGGAGAGTTGTGCTTTTGGGTGTGATGCAATTAAACAATTATGCATTAAATAAATTATTAAGAAAAATAAATGTTGATAGTATTGTCTTCTATATTTGAATCCTAAGTAAATAGAATTTTAGCACTTGTAGTATTTTATGTTTTATCATTCTTTGAGATAGACTCAATCTTTTTCTTTCGTGCAATTGATAGCTCGTCAATTTATCACTTTTGAGAATATCAATATCTTAAGGTTAATTCGTACTTCTCCTTTTGCTCATTTTGGTGGTTAGGAATCTTCCTCCATTTGTATGTTATGGCATTCTAATGCTCTGCTTCTTAAGAAGAGTCACTAGTAATTTTTTAAAAATATAAAACATTCATCCCCCCATAATGTTAACATAAGTTTTGTATTTGATGATTCCTATTGTCATGCATCAAGATCTATAGTGAAAGAATTTCTTTTCTTTTTTCTTCATAATTCTTTCTGCACATTCTATTAATTTATCTTTTATTTAACAACAAGATCAATTTAATATCCAAAACTGATTAATTGTATTAAAAAAAAGGTAAATAGTAGCAGAAAAATATCATTATATTAATGCTATCAATATTTATGTAATATATTCAGAGTCTTCATAGGCTGCAAAAGAATATACATAAAGCATAGAAATTGAAAAAGAACTAAATTAATATCATTGCCTAGTCTCAAACTGTAAGCTCCTTATCTTTACGTGAAATCATGTAAACCACATAATGAGCATGAAAACCCAATAAATTAATAAAATCTTATAACTCAAATCAATACATGACAAAAGAGAAGCAGTATATTGTAAATCATATAAAAAATTAATATATAGGTTATGTGTATTGGTCACTTGTATCAATCAATTATTATATTTTTATCATTCAATCATTCTCGTCAATCTATCAATTAAATAATAGTATTAGTATATATATTCAATAACGATAAAGAATATGCAAATAAAAGAAAATATATCGATATCCTTATAATAAATAAGTTTCCTCAGTTAAGAATTTGAATGAGCTTATGATTCTAGATCATTTCTCATCTTTTGGGGAGATTAAGATTTCCCTATGAGAATACTTGTAATTAAAGTATATGTGAGGATAACCCTCTTAACAACTCTTTGGCAAAGATATCATTGATATAGTAAATGAGACTCTTAATGCCTTTAAAAACAAGCTTAACCAAATCCATGATTATATTAATCATGACTTATAAGCCTTTTGATATTTCCTCTAATTATATTGTAAATATTTTGATAACTCCACTTTATAATCATCATCTAATGTATTTTATTCAAGATATTCTTATTGTTATAATTAGGAGGTATGTGGTAGTAGCTAGAATTCTTAAATTTAAGATGGGATTAATTCATTGACTATAAAAAGTGTCCTTTGATTCTTAGTTTATCTTCTTACTACAAAAATGGTCATTAAGACTTTATGTATTTTAGCAGTGATAGAAGGAAAAATTAAATGCTAGTTTATGGGACCTAAAATGTTAATGTCAAACTCCAAAATCAAATCATGTGTTATGACTCTATAATTAGTTTATTTTGGCAATGTGGATAATTTTGGTTTTTTTATCACTTGAGTATTTGTCCATATGGATCATAATATTTTCTAATTTTTAGTGATAATCTTTCTAATGATTTTAATTATATGTTCTATGAATGTATAATGCCTGTGTCTTTTGCATTTTTCCAAAAGACTGTTAATTAAATAATGTTTATTTTTTATGATATCTAACACAAATATATTGATGAAATTATATGATATGCTAATTTGAGAGGGTGTAAGAAAATACTACTCTAAAAAGAGAAATAAAAATAAATAATATAATTTTATAGATGTGATAGAATTTGTTTCACACTTTCCCATCTTGTTTATAAATGATTATACAAACCTCTTTTTATAAGGGTTAACACTTGTTAAATTATGGTGCCTAATTTGTGCCTTACAAAGAAAACTTGCAGCATAGATTTAGTCACAAGTCGATCTTCATGAAAAGGTCATCATAGGGTTTGAATGAGGAAGTGAGCCTTGGAAAGTTGTCTAATATTTGTAAATATTAGTGGTAGTTAGTTGGTGCTACCGATTGAGTGATAATGGTAGTAGGCTGGTAGCATTTGCAAGCGACAATGGTGATCACTGATATTGGTGGCGGTTGATAGCAATATTGGTGGTTGGTGATGATGACAGCGATAGTAGTTAGTAAGCGGCAAGCAGCAGGCAATGGAGGCAATCACCGGTCATGCTGGTGATTCATAATGGTGGTAGCGAGGTGAATAAATGGTGTTAGAGTGGTTGTGTTGATGGCAACAAGTAGGGATAGTAGCAAATATTGCTAGTAGTGTTGATTATTTTTAAACCTAGCTAATCAAAATTTCAAAAAAAAATATTTTTTAAGTGTTCTTACAAGCAATTTGATTAATTTTTTTAAATAAAATATTTTGCTAATCATTTGTATTTGTGAAAGGATCCATGAGCCAATGGTTAGAGGAAGATGTTATTTCTTCAAAAATACTATTTTAAATTCAATCTTTTACGATTTATTGCTCACCATAATTAATCATATTTTTCTTAAAATAATAACTATAAGCAATGTCTTATCAAGTAGTCATAATTTTAAATATATAAATTTTTTAAGAAAATGTAGGTACATATATCTTCAATCATATCAATGAGTTTTAAGCTTCGTTTGGAATAGCTTTTGTACTAATTTATAAAACAGAATTTTAGTAAAAAATTATTTGAAAAAAATAATGTATTAAAACTTTGTTTTATAAAACAATAAGAAAGCAGTTTCAAACAAAGTCATAGTTTAGATGAAAGCTTCCTAATTAGCAAGACAGAGGTCATAGATTTTTGTATGATTTGCACTATTAAAAAAAATAAAATATATATTATAATTTAAAATTATAATAATTAAAATTAAAAGGACCAAAAATAAATTTTTTTATTATTTATGTTCCCCTCTCCTCATAAGCTACACCAATGGAGTAGTGGGAGAGGAAAGCGACTCGAAGAGAGCACCCGAATCATTCATCAACTCTTTTTAGCTGGCAGGAATCTCCTCTCTCTCTCTTTCCCTCTCTCCCTCTCCCTCTCCCTCTCTCTCTCTTTGTCAGAAAAAAAGCCATTAAAGTAATAACAGCTTTGATCCAATTGGAAATCACTGGGATATTTCATTGTTATTATTCTATCCTAATTAATTAATAACCTTTTGGCTTAGACGACAAGCATCAATGCATTGGGATCTTCATTGTTTAATGATTATGTGGCATAATTAGATGCTTAATTGTAATGATTATAGGTCAATGATGTTATCTATTTGTTTTGGGAGATGGAGAAGGTGGTTAAGGTGGTTTAAGTCAAGATTAGCTATACACCTCTTGTTAATATTTAATAGGTTAGTTAATTAAGCTTAATTGGACTGATGTATTGATCGTTTTGGATTCATTATACCAACTAATGGCTTATAGAATTGTTGACCTACTTTTTTTTTGCTCCAGACTGGGTCAGTGAGCTGACTTGGTCAAGTTTGACCAGGCTAGACCCCAGGACCCATCCCAATGGGTCCAGGGAGTCAAGCTAAGTCTGCTGAGCTCAGACCCAGGTCAACCTGGCTGACCGTCAACCAGGGTTGACCCAAATAGACCTAAACCCTTTCATTCAATTTCAAATCCAATTCAGGCCTCCTTGAGCCCATTTCTCTGCACCCTTGGACTCAGTAGGTCGAGCTCAGTCTCCTAGACCCAGACTTGTGTCCTGGGTCAACCCAGTTGGCCAAGTCAACACAGGTTGACTCAAATTGACCTAAAGAGCCCAAATCAAATTCAAATTATTCAAACCTGTTTTATGGCTCAAACCCATCACTCCATTGACTGGTTTGACCAAGTCAAATTTTGACTTAGTCAAACCCAGCTCTTAATGGGTCAAATCAACCCATTAAAGCCCATTTAAACCCCCATTTAAGGCTCTAATTGATTCCCTTTGGTTTTGAATTCAAAACCACGGCCAAAATATGATGATTTCCCTTCTAACTAGCCAGAGATTTGATCCTAGCCATCCATGCTAGGTTGAGGGCATTTAAATAGCAAAACTTAGGTCAATTAGAGGACTTTTTGACTCATACTCTCTCTCGAGACTGTCAAAACACTTAAAATTTCGGGTGAGAGCTCTAGAGAGATCCCTCCACCTTTTCCAATCAAATCCCGACGGTCAGGACCTCGCTGGCGGCCAAATTCCGATGACCCGAAGCCACAAACCTTCCAAGGAGACCTGCCATCAATCGAGGGCGTTTCAGGGCTCGACGTCAACTAGGAACATGTTCGTGGGGAGTCTACGAATTCAACATGCCCAAGAACTCCTGAATTCACCGTGTGGATTGAGGTATATCCTCAACCCTAGTCTAGAATACATAACCACATAGGGTTAATTAGTGTTCTATTAAGCAAGTTTTAGACCGATTTTTCACTTACCCATTGATGCTCTTCATACCTAGTATTCATGTTTAAAATTTCATCGATTTCTATCGTACCGTTCGAGAGAACGAGACGATTATTGTGCTATTACCCTGATTTCACCCTAATCCTGACAACAAGTGATCTGAACCGTTGATTCTGTGATCGACGGTGCACATCCTGCCGCTCCGCGGTTTCCTCTGAATCGCTGAAACGACC